GAAACGCTTCGGCCTAGGCTTATATTGGCTTGGCCATCCCGAAATGGCATGCCAGTATTTTTTCTTGTGAACTCATCACGACATGCTTATGCTGGTATAGCATGCTGATAAATATTTATTTGCTTCACTTTGCTCCACTTAGGTTCAACTTGATCTACTGTCATCATGTATGCTCTGCTACACCTCCATAGCCCTCCAAAGTACCTAAAAACACTCCAAAATGCAACAATACATGCTAGGACTATCCTAAAACTCACTACACTAAAGTGAATGCAAGTCTAAAGAAAACTATGGAAATCCATATGAATGACAACAAAAACTACTTGAAATGAATACAATAAACAGAAATATAATACAACTATTAGTAGACATTTTCACAAAAGCATTACCTCCAAAGACTTTTATGACATGCTTAAAATATTATTCTTAATGATAGCTCTTGCTTATGTTTAAGCCTACGTATGATTTTCATTTGAGTTCTTTTATGACTTTTATATATTTCATTTATTTTGTTCCAACATGTACATGATATGTTCAAATTATCCCTTAGAGTTACTCTCTCAAATTAAGAGATCGTTGTAGTACTTAGGGGTCGAATCCACAAGGACTTAAGAATATTACACTACAGACTTTAGATTAAAATATAGCTAAGCAATCGAAAACTAGTAAACTGAAATGGCAAATAAAAATAACAAGAGCAGGAGTGGATTATGGGTTCTAAAAACAATGAGACAAAGCACTAGGCAATGGGAAATTCGCATGTTGACATAAATCATGGACTACAGACTGAAATGATCATTTGTTAAAACCGTTCTAGAACTCGAAAACACGAATGTAAAACCGATCGACTTCTGTCGCAAAGATCTATGATCAGATTTTAGAATTCCAAATTCCTTTGAAAATTCTAACAACCTAAGCAAGCATTTTGGTTCAGGTTCGATATGTTCACAAGATCACTAATCCAAATTCTTTTGCAATTAGTTACTTTACTCATCAAAGATAGTTCTGGTGATTAATAATATTTCCACGTCTATTAAACAACTTAAGATCTGATTTCTAGGTGATCAATTTTAAAACCAGTGTTAAAGCAATCTATATGAAGAACCAATGGATTTATCCTTCTAGTACTGCAGTTCTAACAATTCATTATCAACCTTTGAATAACCCAAAACCTAACTAGCAAATTACTCAGACATAGGAATTGAAACACAAATCATGACTGAAAGATATTGCATTAAAAGATAGAGTAAAAGACAAAAGGGGTTCGAAATTCTTCTCTAACAAAGTACGGATTTGTCTCCCCAAAAGCTCTGAATCTAATCTCTCTCTTAGTCTTAATGAAAACAAGATAATTTGCCTAACAATGGCTTTCAAAACCTAAATACAACTCTAAACACCACTGGGGCAAATTGCAAAAATTAGAAAACTTCTGGGCTAAGTTGCAATTCTTCAAAAGCGCTAAATAACGCGACTTCTTTGTATCCACGATTGGTGTCGATCGACACTGAGTGGCTGGTGTCGATCGACACCTTGCTCCAGAATGCTTTCCGACTTGGTCTTTTCAGCATCAGCTTCAACATAGCTCCAAAAGGCTCCAAATCCACAATTATGCTACAAACGTACCTAGACCTGCAAGGACTCGAAAGGACTCGAAAAATATTAAAAAGAATCTATAAACAAGATTTATATCATGGTCAAAAACCATAATATAACAGTACACACAACATTTGTTGAATTTATGATAACAAAATGCATATTTATTTTAAGACATAAAAGGTACCATTACAATAACTCATACTTGTGTTTATGGTCTAACTATTAAGGTAGTCAATGTTGCAGTACATTGGAAGAGATATGTGACTATCATGACTCCTATTGATTATTAGACCAGCCACGACACTATCGCATTAATTACACGAGTAGCCACGACACTATCTCATTAATTATTAGATTAACCATAAAACTTATGATGAAAAAATGAAAGAAAAAAAAAGTTCCTGGCCTTATGATTCTATAAAGAAAACATTAATAGATTTTACTAAACAATCAAGTTTCCGTAAATAATAATTATGTGTCCTACTATGTAGTCTAATAATAATCAGTTTTCTGTTATATTAATAATATTCTTTAATATATTTGTTGACTAATTAAATTGGAAATAAAGAAGTTAATTCTCAAACAATCTTTACTTTGATGGACGGTTAAGATTATTCTTAAAAAAAATCTAATGAGAAATTTAGCTCATCTCTCCACTTATAAATATACAGATTTAGTCAATTATAAATGCATCACAATTAGGCAACAAGAGAGAAATCTAAACTCATATTTCAGAGATCTTATTTTTCATCTTTTACGACAATGGCATGAGGTAAGCCTATAAATTTACTCATAATTCTATTATATGATTATGCAGATATTTAAAGATCTTAGGGTTCATGTAATTTATGTTTACATTGGGTTCTAGGAGTTGAAGTGAATTCACTTTGGATTTCCCAACCTTTGATCTCGTTGCCGTAGGATGACTCGATATAGTTTTGAGCAAATGGCTGAGTAGTTGAAGTAGTAGCAGGAGTTGTTACAGTGTCTATTCTACTAGTGGGTGAGGGAATATTGTTGCCCATAAGGACATAATCCAATCACGTTGTACACCTAATCCTATCATTTTCCATATAATTAGACACAATATAATTTATGGAAGGAGGACAATCACTTTGAGTGAAGAGAGAAGGAGTCTCTATCTCTTTATTTTGAGCCACATTATCTTCATCTTCTGTAGTATGAGCTAGGAGCAATGATGAGAATACTGTCAGGCTTAGGTGGAGAAGGACTGTTTTACGGAGGAGAAAGAACAGTCTACTGAAAAAGAACCAATGAATATTTGCTCTCAAGCTGCTAATAAGAGAGTAGTAACATGTCTACTGATGTAGACGTGTATTATAGGAGGATAGAGACACCTATATGATATATAGGGTTTTTGAGGCTAATTAACCAAAGGTTTTCAATGATTTTTCGAGTCAAAATGTTTATTTTAGAGTATGTTAGTCTTTTATATAGTCTTTTCAGGTTTTAGGTCGTCTTAAGAGAAAATGAGCTGTTTTAGGTGCAAACGAACATATGTGGATGCAGAACTATGCAAAAACGTCTGAAGTTTGGCATTCGTTAAAGTACTTCCCACTGATGGATCGAGCTGAAATTTGGACACAAGCAATATATTTCAGTTAGCTTTCATTTGGAAGTGGTTTGAAGTTAATCCAACTATGCGATCAAAAGTTATACTAGTTTTCGTGAAAGCAGTCCAGTCTGGCATGCACAGAAGGCCAAAGAACTTCCCAGGAGAAATTAGATCAATCGATCCGAAGTTCAAGAATCACCCGAGATATTTTAGATTGATCGATCCAGGAGAAATCGATCGATCTGAGAGGCCATAGATTCCCTTAGAGGATTTAGATCTATCGATCCAATCCAGGATCGATCGATCCGGGGTCTTTGGTTTAGTTTCGGGTTTTTCCTGTTCTAACTTGGTTTTTGACAAATTCTCACCCATGTGTGCATGTACCTATATATACTTGTTTTTCAGCCATTGTTTAGCCTAACCTCTTCTTTTACCTTCATACTTTTAAGTTTTAAATAGGACCTCATAATTAAAATGGCTCTAAAATAGCCATATATTATATCGACATATTATAATGGTAAAAATGTTTCTACTGATTTTTGATGGATTTCCCACCAAATTACTTACGGCATTTGTTACGTACAGAATTCGTTAAAAAAAATCCAGTGAATTGTAACATGATGTTTTGGTGAGAAATTTTTGACAAATTTCCTAAGGGTTTTCAAATTTCATGGGAAATTAGTGTAAAGTTGGTAAAAAATCACTAGGTAATTCGTGGGAAGTTGACACACATTATTATCCGTAAAAAGTGGATAAGTGGACATATTCAACAAGGAGATAGAAAGGATTTTGAAGAAAACAATGGAAGATATGAGGAAGGGTTGATCATGAAAGATTTCTGTCGCTCTTTTTACATTCCTGGAACAATTTATTTTCATCTTTTTTATAGAAATGCATGTTATCCTCCAGTTGGGATAGAGTAAACCAGAAGGGACAGTGCAAAAGCTGAGTTATAACATTAAGACAGCAATCAAGAAGCGTTTAATTCAATTGAAGGAGTTCGAATGAAATACACCATCATATCAGTGAGACTTCTAAGATTTATAAAGAACAAACTAATGCATATCATGAAAAAAAAAAGATAGTTCCTAAAGATGTTTTCACCAAAGGACACAGTTATGCTATTCAATTCATGTCTGAAACCCTTGCTTAATCTTAGATCGCGATGTTTGAGATCTTTCAAGATCAAAAAAGTGAAACCATATAGTGTTGTGCTGCTTTGCAACCGGAATGGAGGTGGACAATTCCCTTAAACCGAAAAAGAGACGAGGTAACGACTTTAAACAAGCAATTTGTCGAAGACAACACAACCCACATTGATTTTTATTTTTTAAGTTTTGAACTATATCTTACCCTTACTTATTTAATTCTTATTTGTGTAGAAATTTTACAAATACTTATAAAAAAAAATAAACTAAAAGAACGAATGAACTACACTCCACCGACCCAGTTTCTGGCACGTATACACATGCTGTGAAAAACCATTACCATAGGGTTTCAAAGGAGTTTGAATTTTCCGTCAAATCAAGTAATGATTCTCGTGACTCACTTCTATAGAGGATCTCTACTAAGCAAAAGTTTTAAATGGCCTTGAAATAATGTAGCGGTTTGAAGCCTCATTTCATTACTAGTTAAAGCCGGAGCATTATTTTTAATTTGGCAAGATGACTTTGTGAATACTAAATATGGCTTGTTTGTGTTTATTAGATATGGTTTAGTGAATCATAAAATTAGATATGGTTTGTTTGTTTTTAATTTTGTATAAGTAACTGAGATCACACACGCACCAAATGTTTTAAAAGTTAAACAAAATTTAGATAAAGAAAAATAACATTCTGGTAGCGTTTTATTATCATAACAAACATTCATATTGGTTGCCACATATCGGACTGAGACAACTTTTATTACATTGAGCTGACAAAGTCAACGATTTCAACCACATCTTGGAGCAACGAGTTGGAGTTGACCACCCTACAGTTCCTCCTGATCTGTCCTTGAGATCCTGTGAGAGGCAAAAGGTCTCCCATCCTATTCATAGCCTCCACAAACGCATTGAAGAACTTTTGTGTGCCATCGGCATATGCTCTCACCAAGGGGATTGTATCAGTAGCATTAGGGCTAGAGAACAACTCTTGATCGCTTTGGATAAGTCCTTTGTGCTCTTTCAGATTCACATAATATTTGTTGTCGAAAACGGTTGGTGTACGGAGATCGAAATTAACCAACACGGTCGCGTCACCATTACGAGGGCATAGTCCACGTAGCGTTTGGAGGTAAGTAGTGTTGAGGGTAGGATCGGGTAAACCAGTGTTGCTAAAGTTGTATAGCCTGTCCAAAATAAACTGGCATTGGTTTTTACCAAAAGTGTGACCACCTAACAAACAAAAAAGACAATAAGTAATCAATAAATATTGTTAAACTAATTACATCCGATGTGAGTTTTTGTTAATTTTGCTAAGAAAAAACATAATTACCAGAGAGAGCAACAAGATCAGAAGGATGGTCAAGACCGACATTTCTAAAACTGGCTTTAAGTTGTGGAAGAGAGAAGAATGGAGCGGGAAGATTGTTATTAGAGAGATCAAAAAATGCTTGTAAGCTATCTCGCCTCCCCAAACGAACCCTCCAAGAAGGACCTCCTGCCTAAAATATTCATAAGTTTATATCCTTAAAAATAAAATAAAAGAAAAGCATAAAATACAAATATATATTTTTGGATTATAAAAAAGACAAATATTAGTTAACCAAGTAAAATAAGACTGGTCTTATCAGTTTAGTATATTGTAATGATAATTGAAGAAATATGTATATACGTCAATTTTCTCTAACAAAGACCATGCTATTAAACATATTCTCAACTAATCTTCAATACATATCCGAAATTTTTAAAAGGAGGATAATATTAAATACAAATTGTCATGTTCTCACACAGCTTGCAGTATTTAATTATTTTTTTCTTCAATCATGTGTACTTGTCACTTGTTATGTTTACAATGTTCACTGACACCTTCATGTTGGAATTTAGAACAGTGTTTGTCATGAATCAAATAAAGAGGGGTTGTATCAATAGTGCTTACCAAATTAACAGATTGTTGAGCTGCGATGGTAAGAATATCTGCACATGAAACAGTCCTCGGGCATGCTGCCTCCACTGCTGCTTTCATTCTATCAATCACTGGAAATCCCCGGGCCGAATTTGCATTTGGCGCCGCATCTTTTTCTGTTTGGAACGAGGTTGTGTTGTCTAACAAGATCGATGCATCACAACCCTTTTTTCATAAACCAAAAGTTTTTTTTTACAACTTAGTCAATAATCTGAGCCATAGTCAATCTTTGACACCCGGTAAACAGTGTGAAATTGTGTTTTTTTCATTCACTAAAACCATTTCTTCAATCCGATAATATATATACATACAAATTAGTATACAGTTTATTTTACCTCTTAACACTAATATTTTTTCTAAAAAGAAAAAAACACTAATATTTTACTGTTTTATTTTGGGGGGTGTAATTTCTGGTTGATACTATAACGTTTTAAGAAACACCACACGTTAAAACAATTGTGCTAACACAACGCCCTGATTAGAAGATTGAAAGATTTCTTGGAAAAATAAATAAATTATTTAGTGGGTTGTGAAATGTTGAATGATTTCTAGTCTTTTTTTTTGTCATTCAATAAATAAATGATTGATAAAAATACATGATAACGTGTTTGGTACGGGTCCATGGTCATCCTAAATAATCTAATACAAAAGATTCATGTTTGCTGAATTGGAAATCTGTGTTTGATAATATATGTTTTGGAATCATCTGTCAATAGAAGATTAAATAACAAGTCACTGTTGACGACAAGAACATAGATATTCAACAGTTAATAACAAATCGAAATATGTGATATTTTATATTGCTAATTTTTCTGGATCAGATCCGTTTGACCACGGGCTATTATCGTAGATAACGTAAATCATCCTAACTAATACCACAAAAATTATTATTTATTGAACGTTTTAAAGCTTATAATAAGCCATTTCTTATTTTGTATTTGCTAACAAACCATGTGTTTTATTTATAACTGACAAAGACGTATTTTGTTTTTCTCTAGTATCGCCAAAACCCGAAAAATTGTTTCAGAAATCAAGCAGATAAATTACAGGTTGACTAAAAAATCTAAGACAAAAAGTCTGCCATAAAACTCTACAAAAGCAAAACATAGTTTTCTTTATATTTCTGAAATTTGAAAAGGATTTTTGAATATAATTCTACGATATACTAGTGTATAGAGAAGTTATGAGCGAAAGTCTACAAGTAAAATTTGACAAGTGATAATATATTCTTACATTAACGAAGCAGTCGTGAAAGTGAAGACGAAGGATGCTCGCGGCGATACGAGGATCCGATCTTAGCTCGTTGACTATGGTGTCCCGTACGATGTTAAAGACACGAGGGCATGTAGTGTCGTAGAAAGTAGTAGTAAGTTGAGCAGTCGAGAAAGATGAATGAAGCATAAGACATCCCAGTGTTATTAGGGTTGTCCAAATTGACAACGAAGAGAAAGAAGAGAAATTCATTTTTTTTCTTCTACAAGAAATGTTTTCTGGTTGGTTTTAGTAGAGAAAGATGAGGAAGCCACATATCACAAAGAATCGTTTTATAGAAAAACTAGGTCTAACTTGTAGGCTTTGCTTTTTTTGTGGACAATTTTTTATACTTCCATATATATATAAAAATTGTATACATTCTCAACAACTGTATAGATTTATACATTTTTTTATGTCAACTGTATGAACAATTTCTATACTTTTTTCATATATAGCTTGAAATTCTTCAATGGTTTTTTATGTCAACAACCATTTATGAATGGTCGCGCAAAGTATGGTTCTGAACTTTCAAGTGTATTTAATATGATCTTGTCCAAAATGTCATTTAATTTTGTGATTTCTAGACACTTGGTATATGGTAACAGTCTAGTGCAATAAATCAAGTTCAATATAAAATGGATATAGAAATTCACACTCAGACATTTATGTGTTTTATAAGGAAAGAATTTTAGGAGAATTAAGGGCTAGATTATCTCGAATAGATTGACAGTATAAGCTAGCATTAACTGAAATAAGGACTTGATATTAATCGTTTGAATGAAACGTTTACAAGGATATCTATGAAAGAAATAAAATGAAAAGAGCTCTGAGAGCAGTTACAGAGTTTTCGTGTGTAAAAAGTGTAAAAGAAGATCAAGCCAAAGATTCTCCAAACTAAGCCGTTTATCTTCTTTATATAGCTCGCCTTGTCGAGCTTCAACCTCCAGCGTGTATCTCGGCCACGTGCAGCAGCTTCAGCCGGAAATCTCGCCACATGCACCAGCTTCCTCCGCGAAATTCGGACTCGTTTGAACTGGCGGGAATATGCACTGACTTGGTGTGGATACAGAAATCCACACTCAAAAATTTATGTGTTTTGTAAGAAAAGAACTTTAGGAGAATTAAGGGCTAGATTCTCTCAAACAGATTGACAGTATAAGCTAGCACTAATTGAAATTAGGACTTGATATTAATCGGTTGAATGAAACGGTTACAAGGATTTCTATGAAATGAAAAGAGCTCTGAGAGTAGTTACAGAGTTTTCGTGTCTAAAAAGTGTAGAAGAAGATCAAGCCAAAGGTCTTGAAGAAGATAGATAGATCCCCAAAACTTGGCAGTTTGTGTCCTCTGTATAGCTCATCTCATCAAGCTTCAACATCCACTGCGTATCTCAGCCATGTGCAGGAGCTTCAGCCGGAAATCTCGGCCACGTGCAGCAGCTTCTCCCGAAAATCTCGGGCTCGTTAGAACTGGTGAATATATGCTCTGACTTGGTCCAGATTCTTCCTTATTCTTCGGGACAAGGTCGAGCTAGAGCTCGACCCCGACGAGCGGAACACTAATTGTCAGGTTCGGACCATTGTGAGTGATTGGACGCCGAGGCCTAGTCAACTGAACATAATTTTAGGATATTTTTGTTGGGCTTAAGTGGGCCGGATTTAGGGTGACAAATCCTGCTCCAACAATTGCCCTCAGCCCATTAACGAGAACAAGTTCGAGCTTTAATGGGTCGCGAGTGGTTTCTTTCTAGAAGATTTTGTATCTCGCGTGTTGTCGTCATGATGATAAGTAATCATTCAGGATCAACGATCGAGGCTACGAGAGATGAAGGATCCATCAGATCATACGGTCGAGGTCGATCTCCAAGATCGTAGTTCGAACGACGAGATCTGTCGGCTGTTATCCTTTGTTCCGAACTTATCTTAGCCCGAAAGGGCTTTGTTCTAGAAGAATTCAGGCGTTGGTGCCTTTAAATTACTTCCACTTCTTGCTTTCAGTTGTTCGAGTTGAACTTTTACCTAGTTATTTGTTGACTTAGGAGAGTCGAACCAAAGTCATCGAGCTCGTAGCTCGATTTGTTGGTTATGAGCTCGTAGCTCGATTTGTTGGTCGTGAGCTCGTAGCTCGATCAGTTAAGTCGGATGACATGATCTGGTTTTGGTGTACGATCCTTTCCTTCTGAAAATGTGGCTAAGCGTTTAAGCTCATCTTTGGCTTAATTGGGTTTTATAAAAGAAGACCGGTCAAACTACTTCGCGACAATGTTTTAGTATTCGAAGTAGAGTTTATTTTCCGTCGAACTAGGTCTCTCAGTTTCTGCTTTAGAATGGAGAAGAGGATCGGGCTTTACTCTTGTCATCCAGAGATAGAGCTCGGCGTACCAGGCAAACTGTGAACCGCGGATGGCCTTTAGTTCGAGGTCTGGAGCTTGAGTATGCTTGAAATTGAGTCATAACCTCGATCGCGCCTATTGAGGTGGAGTCGACCTCCTGACTTAGTTAGTTTGTGAAATGAGGAAGTTAGGGGTAACCATGCGGAGAAGGGAGGTGACAATGAGAAGGCGGGTGGTTAGCTCGGAGGCTGACCGTGGCTCTTTTCTCCTTCCTTTTTTTCTTCTTTTAAATTTTATTTTCGAACTTGGTTGCCCGGAGGGGCTTTACGCTTGTTCTGGTGCGAGAGAGAGCTTTTATCCATATTTTCGAACTCATTCATGCCCAAAAGGGTTTTATTTTGAATGCAATCGGGCCTCGTGCCTTAGACTTTGTTAAATTTGCTTTTTGCATTCAGTTTGTTCGAGTAGGATTTATGCTAAGTTGTTAGGTAACTTAGGAGAGCGGACTAGGGTTACCGAGCTCAAGGCTTAGTTCGTTAGTCGGGAGTTTAATGCTCGAGTGGTTAGCTACGAGTTTGTTGCTCGATTTATCAGACTTAGAAAAACTATTAGGTCACGGAGTGCGATCTGTTTGTTCTAAGAATAGTGGCTAAGTTTTTTAGCTCGACTTTTGTTTAGATTTTAGAAGACGGATCGAACTGCTTTGCGATGAAGTTTCAGTGTTTGAAATGGATTTTGCTTTCCTTTGAACTAGGCATTTCTCAGATTCGGCTTTGAGATATGGAGAAGGGGGTTCGATTTTACTCTGAGTTTCCAGACATAGGGCACAGTCGTTCCTGACAAACTGCAAGCTGTGTTGGGCTCGCCGGTTTGAGGCCCGGAGCTCAAGCTATGGTTGGAGTCGAGTTGTAAACCTGACTGCACCTGTGAAGTGGAGTAGGACTCCGAACTTAGTTGATTTGCAAAATAAGAGATGTGTACCTTGTTTTTTTTCTGACAAAGGTATCTAGGATAGGTGGCTCCCCATCCCCCCCCCCCCCCCCCCCCCCCCCCCTCGAAGGAGTGAAGTACATGTGTACTGTAACTAGCTTATGTCGAGGTGCGGGAGATTGGGAGTGCTTGGGCATCGAGGTCGGTTGTATAGGACTTTACACCCCTTGAACTAGTGAGTGGGGCGTGAGCTTGAGCTTGCTTGTTGCGAGGCGCGAGTGGGTGGGCTATATTTTGACCTCGACGCCGAGCTGTGGAGCTCGAGTTTGATTTGATGTATTTCAGCATATAGATGTATGACAAGGGTGGTCCAAACTGTTTTGGTTCGTGATCTCGGTTTTGACAAATATAATTGTTGCTGAGTAATTGATTATTATTCCAAGTAAAAGATAAGGAAAGATGATACAATGTTTGGTCGTCGCGTATAGCTCGCCTATTGATGTTATCATGCCGAGGAATAAAAATTTGATAAAAATTGGTGGCCGAACTCGTGGGTCGAGCAGCCTACGTACCCTGTAAGGGGATCAAGCCATGACGTAGTTGGATTGTTTAAAGTGCTTTTAGCAATAATACCTCTTGAGGTTCATTACGTTCTAAGGTCTTATCTCGGACACCCCGTTTTGTACTTTCGTAAGCTTGTAAACGCTGTCGCGAACTACTTCAGTGATGCGATAGGGACCTTCCCAGTTGGTTCCTAGTTTCCCAGCACCGGACTCTTTGGTGTAATCTTGTACCTTGCGCATGACCAAATCTCCTACGTTAAATCTCCGGTGTTTGACGTAGGAGTAGTAGTAGCGAGCTGTGGCCTGCTGGTAATTTTGAATCATGATCAATGTTTGATCCCGACGTTCGTCGATCAGATCGAGCTGGTCCCTTAACAGCTACTCATTGAGTATGGTGTTTGTCGGGCATAGAGTCCGACGAAGACTAGGAACTGCAGTTTCTGTTGGGATTACAGCTTCCAGCCTGTAGGATAGTGAGAACGGTGTTTTGCTGGTTGCTTTGGGGGTGTGGTTCGACAAGCCCAGAGTATGGCCGAAATGTGTTCAGACCACCTTTCTTTTTTGGCGTCGAGCCGTCTCTTGAGATTTCTCAAGATGGCTTTGTTCGCTGCTTCGGCTTGCCCGTTTCCTTGAGGACAATGAGGTGTGGAGTAAGAGATTTTCATTTTCCACATCGCAAAGAAGTCTTTGAAGTTTTACGATATGAACTGTGAACCATTGTTCGTTATGATTTTATAGGGAAGCCCGTGACGGCAAATCACGTTTTTCCAGATGAAGCCGCGTACCTGGAGCTCGGTTGTTTGCTGGTAAGCTTTAGCTTCTATCCACTTGGTGACGTAATCAGTGAGCACTAGCAGGTACCTGAATTGCTTAGGTCCCGAAGGGACCATGGGTCCTACTATGTCCATTGACCACCTCATGAATGAATAAGGTGCCGAGATTGACGACAGTCTTTCTGCTTGACAATGAATGATCAAGGCATGCCTCTCACATTTGTCGCAGCTCTTGGACAGCCTCTGACAGTCCGCTATCATGGTTGGCCAGAAATAGCCAAGTTTCTTCCGAATGACGAGCACTCGACCTCCAGCATGACTTCGCAGGGACCTTGGTGAGTGTTGGACATTACGCTGTAGGCCTCCTCAATGTGTACACATTTAACGTATGGTTCGGATAGACCTCGCTTGTATAGCTTGTCATTGAATAACAAGCTATAGCAGGCGCTTTTAACCTTGAGCTTTCGAGCTTCCCACTTTTCAGAGGGAGCTATTCCATGTATGATGTACTCGAAGATGGGTATCCTCCAGTCCGCGCTGGTGATGAATTCGTCCTTGAAGGTTGATTCATCTGCGAGTGCAATTGATACTGTATGGATTGTTGATTCCTGAGTACTTTGTGAGGAGGTCGGGTTCGACTCAGCATCTTCTGGTGGAGAATTAGCTGGCCCATCCTCATCGGGATGGTCAGCTGTGTTGGAT